ATCAGGTTCAGGGTAAGATGATTGTAATTTACATGTATGTTTTTATGCTTTTGTCCTGTATGTGAAGTAATGTTTATTGTATCATGTATATGTATGTTTTTTGCCAGTTCTACACCAACTTTTGAACTAAATCTTCGGTTTTCGTGAAACTCGTTACAAAGGTCCATACCATTGGAGGAAATTGCAACATTATATATATATTTTTTAATGTTGTGCTATCAATAGCACCATCATGACCGCTTCTCAGTATATGAGATGGGGTCACTGTTAGCACCGTTCAGTTCAGGGTGCTGAAATGTTTGACACTGAAAGCAGTTTTTCAGATTCTACATGAAACTTGGAAACATCCTGAATGCAAACATCTGCATGTCAGGATGAAACTCCAAGCAAATAACATGAGTGATTTCCTCCCAGCCAAACTTCTGAGGTAAGTGACGTTAGCTGTTATTGTCGAGCAGTAGGAGGAGGTACCATTGTCATTTGTCATGACAGAAGAACAAAAATTTATGAAATTCCAGTAGTTTAAAGGGGGCAAATATTGTTTTTACCTTCAGTTTTGCCTCCCAAAAATTAGTTCCTGAATTATTTTCTCAAACCTTTTATGAAATTTCACTCTATATCTGTAAATTGTGTAGTTAAAGCAAAATATTTATCAGAAAGAGGACCCAGAAATGCAAAGATTATAACTTCAGATATTTCATTCGCACTGTCGAAACACAATTGTTTAATCAGAAAGTGTACAGTGTGTATGAAATGTCTGGTATGGGCTTTCAGTTTCTTAACTATCCATTATGAGTTCTAGAGAATAACGACAGACTCATTAAGTAATAAAAGGGCTTTCAAATAGCAAGTGAACAATTATAAATGTGTAATATGGGCAATGGAATTGAGTGGAGAATGAGACAAAATAGGAATAGGATATATTTGGGAAGGTCCCGCGCCGTCTCTGCGCGGTCTGAGGCATCATGCTTCGGACTGCTGGAATGCGCACTGGTTCGAGTCTTGAGAGAGAAGAAATTTTCTCATGAGTTTTCGACCAGTTTATGGGACCGGTGCCAACCCAGCATCGTGAGGAAATTGGGGAGCTACAATGGGTAGCGTAATCTGGTCAGGAAAGCTAGCAATGGCTGGGGGTTTGTCGTGCTGACCACACGTCACCTTGTATCTGGTTGGATGATCGTTCACCTCTGCTTAGTCATGTGAACGTGAGGCCAGCAGTCAAGCTAGTCGGCTTTGGCTCTCTGGAGCTGTTATGCCACGGATTTAATTTAATTTAATATATTTGGGAAGACAAATAAAATAATTACAGAAAGATATAGAATGACAGAATTTATTTACAGTTGCAACAGAAAAGTGGTCATTAATATTTTATCGTGATATGAAATTGGAATAGGGTAGGGAAGAATACACAGTTTACTGTACAAGAAGTCAGAGAAGTGGGTTGGCTTTGTTCAAGGCTGGTGTCCAGAAACTGACAAGGACATGAGAAAGATGGTGTTAAACATGCACTTTTAAAATTTTAAGAAATGATGAAGTGGAGGGAACAGTTTTTGAATAGTAAATGGCTTAATAGATAGCCACGGTGGTCTAGCGGTTAGAACGCTGGCCTTGTAATCCTGGGAGTCTCGGGTTCGATTCCCGGCTGTGCCCGAATTTGTAACTTGTGTTGGGCAAGGCCGTGGTCTAGGCAACACGGAGTTTTCCTCCGGGGGCTTCCCTGGTTTCTCCGTGGCATCCCAATAATTACTCCATTCACACACAGAAGAAGGCAATGGCAAACCACTTCTGGATCATCTGCCAAGAACGTATATGAACAGGTCCCAGTCCGAGAAAAGGAGGGAAGGATCCTGTTCATATGGACCTGCCCTCAGACAGAACACTACAAATAAATAAGTGTAACGTCTAATTGATCTCTAATTTGTTTATGAATGTTAATGAATTGAAATTTCTACAAGGAATAATTTTCATTCAGTTTCGGTTTTCACAAGTTTTCACCCGATATGAAGTTGAACACACAAAATAATTACACAGTGTTTTAATGACTTCAGATACCTTTAAATTCCGTGTCCCCTCGCTTGGGGACTGCAGTTGGCTTTTATTGGTAACGTGCATTACCATCTATGCCATAACTTTTCATTATTACGCTAAACTGAAAGCAAATTTGATTTACTCCTTCATGTGTCTGCTTAGTCTTCTTAATATTAATGAACATGTAGCTTGCAAGAGAATAATAAACTGTACTAATGCTGTAGAGTTAAGAAATATAGGAAAATACGTGTATAAATTGGAGAATAAAATTGATAATATGTAATTGTAAACTGGGATGAGGGAATGGAGTGGAGTAGTGCTATTAAAATTTGTGTCAGAGCTATGGACCGCAAAAATCCGATGTTACGCGAACACGGTGTTTGTACAGAGAACTCAGCTTTATAAATGATTATGTGATATACATAAAGAACTTTTTATGTATTTATTTCAGAAAATCATCAATAATCCGTCTGCTCTATCGTTTCTTTGAACCACAAGAAGGTGAAATTATTGTTGGAAATCAGAATATCAATAAATTGGAATTAGAAAGCCTAAGAAGAGCTATTGCTATTGTACCTCAGGTAATTTTATTATATTGTCACTGATTTATTATATTTTATGGTTAGAACATTTTCATTATTTTTTTTCTTTTCTTTTAACTTAAATCATACTTGGAGTGAAAACAGCTGTTTATAAAAGATGTTGACACAGCTAATTCCATGGAGCAGAATCATTCTTGAGAAACTTTGTGCTGATTGTTGCTTACCTGGTAACTTTTTCTGTGTTGTTTTTAGGACTCGGTACTGTTCCATGATACCATATTTTACAACTTGCATTATGGTAACCTGTTGAAGAATGAAGAAGATGTATACGCAGCTACAAGAATGGCAGAACTTCATGACTCAATCCAACAGTGGCCCCAGGGTTACCAGACGCCGGTATGATTCAGAATTTAAGCGAGCTTTTGGGGTCTGACTATTCATAAGGGAAAATATGTGCTAATGCTAGTTATTAAAATCTTTTTAAAAAGGGTTAACTTTAAATGCTAGCCTATAAATATTATGAAGATTTTCGTCTTCTGGGTTGTTGCGCTGTGTAGTCTGGTCGCCCTGATGACGGAGGCAGTATGACCTCTGAAACGTTGGTTAACATCGACCAGACTACACAGCGCAACAACCCAGAAGACGAAAATCTTCATACTCACCGCTGTGAGAACCTCAAGTCTTACATATAAATATTATCTCTGTTACATGAGAATGAACCTTATCTTTGAAACAGAGAATAATTGATTTAATAATTAATTCTCAGATTGTTAAATGCGGCGCATTTACTTCAGGTTATAAAATATTAAATTAACTGTATTCAGTTTTGTTTAGTGGTGGGTGATCCAGGAGGGACATTGTAGAAATCATTCTGATTCGATTTGACTTGATTTAATTTAATGTATTATAACACTTGCCAGGAACTGGTGTAGCTTAGTCAGTATAGTGACGGACAGACTGGATGCCCAGGGTTTGATCCCCGACAGAGGCAGAGGATTTTTTTCTCTAGCCTCTGCATCCATACTGGCTCTGGGGCCCACCAAAACTCCTATCTAGTGGGTACCAGGGTCCTCTCCCATGGGTAAAGTGTGGCCGGGGTGTGATGCTGACCACTTATCCGCATCTAGTGCCAAGGTTAAGAATAAGTAGGAGCTATGCCTCCTCCCCACAAGCGCCTATATGGCATATAGTGGTCAGCTTTTATTATGACACTTGCCTGGGTGTACTGAAGCAAATTATGAGGATGAAGAATTTGACCAGGTTTCATGTTACGAAGGTATGTAGTTTGAAACCTGGTCAGATAGGATACAGTTACTTGATACTAACCTATTTGATTTGATATACCCTAATATTCATCTACTGTGGTAATATAATGTCAACCTTCTGACTCATAAGGCTTAAGACAGCAATTAATAAATTTTTAAGTGACATTTCTGGACTGGGACATTGACATAATGATGGCAATCTGTTGGGTTGTAGCACTGTGTAGTCTGGTAGAAGTTTGCCAACATTTAAGAGGTTTTTGCTGCCTCTATCATCAGGATGATGATCTTCATCCTCACTACCATGATGCACTGAGAACCTCAAATCCTACTTGGCATTGATATAGTTTATCACATTTTTTCATTAGTTTTTTTTCAAATAATAACACTAGAATGTTTGGGGCACATGTCATATTTGGATAAATACAGTATTTATCTTTTAAATGAATTGTAATGCCATCAGGTTGGTGAACGTGGATTGAAGCTATCTGGAGGAGAGAAACAGAGAGTAGCAATTGCTCGAGCAGTTTTGAAAGGCTCTCCCATTCTTGTATTTGATGAAGCTACATCTTCTCTTGATTCAATCACTGAATATGTAAGTACATTGATTACAGCAATGTAACAGCAGTGCTTAGTACGCACGTTGTTAAACTCAGTACCCAGTACGTATGTATTCATCCAGAAAAAAAAAATTATTGTATGAACACATTTTTGTCACAAGTACCCCGTTGTTCGATATTATTTCTTCCTTGCTTTGCTAAAAAAAACAGTAACTTCAAGCTAAATCTGAACTTATTGTGAGGGTTAGGTTATTATGTACATAAAAATGAGAATCACTTAAACTGTCTAAACATGGGATCATATACTCAGTACTGTACTTACAAAACTTTTTTTTTACAACTTTATAACCACTTGAAAGATATAAATGTAGAGACAAGCATAGAAATTACACTCAGAACATGAAACTTTCAACAGCATGAATGCGAAAGGTGTGAGTAATGAATGACCGTAACACAGCCACTGCTCTATAATCTCTTGTGCATTCTCTTCTGTGTTTAACCCTCAAGCAGATATGTTGCTAAAGTGAAGTGCATACTCACAGTGCATCATCACCTAAACTCAGCCATTCTGGTTGCCGTGGTATACATATTTTTTGTTTATAGTTTAAATGCGTCATGTTTGTGTTTTAAAATATCAAATATATAATATAATTCAAGTCTATACACAAACTTTAAATTGTTGATGTTAAAATTTAAAATTAATATTGATATTTTGCGCTATTCATCGTTATTACGATGTTACAGTATTGCGCTTTATACTACTACATGTTTCAATGCATAGCATCATCTTCAGGTTTTTAATTTGTCCGGAGATAGGGATTAGCTCTATCTAGTGGGCCCAACTGAGTAGGAACCTGAAGACGGAGATAGAGCCCCATCTCCGAAACGTCGTTTTACGTTTTTTACGTTTTATTACTAGACGATGGATAATATCCAAGTAAATTTTTTTTCAATTGACTCTTCACCATCGTCAAGAAGTTTTAGATTTGATAATATTTTTTGTGTTTGTGTTCAGTGACAGAAGATATTCTACCTCATTGAGAAAATTCATTTGTGTTTTTGTTCAGTGATAAACGATATTCTACCTCATTGAGAAAATTCACTGTGTGATCGAATTATTGATGCTGGCATTTGAACATGTCTTTACTTAATCTTGTTCCTGTCTAGATTCATGCATTTGCTTTACCACATTTATACGTTCCGAAATATAGTAAAACCTGTTTCCTACTAATCTCTGTTACAAATATTTTGTTATAAGAAATTATGTGGTCTTGATATGATATGCTATGTTATGTTTTATATAGGCTCTGACCTCTGAGTAGGTGAAGGTTAAAGGTTTGTGACAACGTGCATGACTACTTTTTTATGGACTTTATATCCTTTATGTATTGAAACATGAGTGTTTAGGAGGTGAGTGGATTCCCTGTCTGTCTTCAGGTAAGATCTCCTCAGTATAGCTGATATCAACCCCGGTGGGTTGAAAGTAATATAACCCATTTCCGAAACATTGTGGTTTTAGTGCGCAAAAGACAATGGATTAAGTCCAAAAGAATGGTCGTACTATTTTTAATGTTCTTTCACAGAATATACTGGGAGCCTTGAAAAGGGCTACAGAAGGCCGTACATCAATTGTAATTGCACACAGACTTTCAACTATAATGGATGCAGACGAGATTTTGGTGTTAGACAAAGGTCGAGTAGCTGAAAGTGGAACTCACAGCCAGCTTCTAGCTAACCCTAAAAGCATTTATTCAAGAATGTGGGATATTCAGCAGAGAGCAAGTGTAGAAACCAAACCAGGTCATGCTGCTCAGCAGGGAGCATAGACTATGTTAAACTGGAGTAAAATATGTAAATACATGTATGAATTGTGTTTATATTGTAACAGTCATTTGTAAATAATCAGCATTTGTATTTTATCTTTGTATTTATGGATGTATACATTTACTGTAACTGGAAATTGTTTTTCCAAGTATAGTTTTTGTTGTGTATTCTCTGCATTTGAATTCCCTCCAAGAGTGAAAAGTGGGGTAATCAATGTAACCAACATCTGTTCATGGATATCACTGAACTACTGCTGAATTCAAGTATGTGACAAATTTATGTTTCAGGTATGGTAATTTACTTGTATGTATATTAAAATTGTGTGGACATTTTCAACAATATTAAAAGATAGGGTTTTAACTTCGGTATAATTTTATATAAAATGAAGGGAACAGTATTAGTTTTCTATTTAATTGACTTTGGAAATTTGAAGACAGTTGAATGCAGTATATGTAAACAAGTTGGAAGATGAAGTTTAAAGGCAGATTATCATTTGATACATGATTGTAATATGTGTGTTTATTTTTTGGTAGATATATTTTAAATTATATCAATATCACTTGAAGCTGTGGAAAAAATTAACATTATTAATTTGAAATGCTTCAGTTCCTGTAATGTAATACAAGTAAGGACATTTCCAGGAGTCATTTTGAAATGTCTGGCAGTTGATATGGTGGTAGGATTTTAACCTCACTTTCCTTATATTCAATCATTAAGGAACCAACATAGAAATGATAGCATTAGAATCTGTATAAAAAGAAATTTGGTTTATAACATTTCTAATGTTGCTAATTTTCTGTCCCTGCTAGATTTTGGAGGCTACTAGTCAGGATCTCTGGGTCTTCCAACATTTTAGAAGTCTGTATGATTGAACATAAAGAGCAGAGAATAATTATATAAAATATTCTACATTTTGCCTCTGTTAGACATTTAGATTTTCAGGAATTAGAAGTGTCCAACCACACTGTGGTTTTAAAAAATGTTAACTTACTCTCAGTATCGTGAAAATTGTACAGAACCGCAATATGTGTTATAGCACATAGAAAATACAGTTGGGGTTTTGATTCCTTTTATTTAATATGTCCATAATATGTGTTACAGCACATAGAAAATACAGTTGGGATTTTGATTCCTTTTATTTAATATGTCCATTGGTTAAACATAACTTTGCCTAATTTTATTATTTGTAATAATATTATTTTAAGTACTTCAGTTAACCCTTCTCCAAATATAGAAGCTCAGTACACTGGTAATTTTAAATCTGTGTAACCAGTAATCATGCATTATTTCTAGTGCTGAAAACTTACTTTAATTTTAAGTGTTAAAGTAGACTTTTAAAGTAATCTCTAATTAATTCCTGTTTTAACATTGTTGGATCATATTCCTTCCCTGGGTTTGATAGAGTGGATTTTAAGCAATGTTGCTTACCCTGTATAAGAGGTCTGGGATTAAAAGTGGGCATCTGTCAGCATATGAAATATGCCTCATTCCTTCTGCCATTTAGGCATTCTATTCTGGCTTGGAGACTGCTTGCAAAACATTCTTGGAAATTACTAATGCTGTTATCTATTTTACAATGAAATCAAAAATACCATTAAAATGTAATGCTTTAATTGCAGTTTATACTGTAAATTTAATGGAAATTAGTGGAGCTGCTTAATAAAAATGATATTTTGTTATATCTGAAGGTTGATTTGCATGAATCCTTTAGAACTTAGCACACATTTTTGAATGATAAACATAAGGAATTGTATAAAATCATATGTCAACCTATACCCACTTTGAAAATTAATAACTGTGCTAAAATTATTAAACTATAACCTCAAACTGTTGCCAGGCTGCAACTGAAGGCTGTCCCCGTTGCAGTATTGTGATTGGCTATTGTATGCCCCAATGAAAGGCAGGCTTCATGAGAAAAGAGATGAAGTATAGTATGACAAATGGTCACCTGGTTGTCTACTTATATTAAAGAATTATCCTCTCCCAAATACAAAACACTAACCTCACTAACCATTTGATGTCCATTTTCATGCAATTCTGAACATCCTGACCTGTTCAGGTTAGTAACATTGGATCACAAAAGGTAATTATTTGATTGAACAACATATGTGACTAATTGAAAAAGTTCTTTTCTAGAGGCACAATTGTCCATTATCATGGAACCAACACTGATCGCAGCCATGCAAGAAGATAATAAAAAACAAAACATTGAAAGGTAAACATTTCATTTTCAGGTAATGTAGTAAAATGAAAAAAGTTAATAGAATATTTTTGTAATTATACTGTGCATATGAGCAAGTTTCTGTTATTTTTTTTTTGTGTTGGTCATTTATGAAGCATATTTTTATAACTTCGTGTGAAAAGCACTCCAGGCAGGCAAATAGGCGTTCAGTTAAGAGGATTTAGTGAGAAATCTGTTTCAGGCATTAAGCATTGGATTCTGTTCACACTGATTAGTGGTTGTATGTAAGACTTCATGCTAGAATGTGCAGACACTAGTGCGTGAACTAATGTAAAATATGAATGCAAGCAAAAGTAATATATACCTATTTATTTCAAGCTAATTTTATAGGTTTTACATCTTTTAGTCAGTTGGTTAAATAAATATTGGTTTTAGACCAGTAAATAATTTATTCAGTGCATTCTTTGCAGTTTATTCATAAAATGAATGCATAATGGGGTGGTCTTTTTTATATATAGCGTGTCAACTATTGATCAACAGTAGATTCATATTGGTAATAAATGAACATAGATTTATAATAATTCAAACAGTAGAGACATTGTTGAAGTATTTCTGTTACTAGTGTCAGTGTTAACCAATATATGCTGAATTGTTTTCCTTTTAACATTTAAAATGTATTAATGAACTACATGAAACAGAAACTTCACTCAGCTTGTCAACAAGTTTTCTGTGCCTGTTATGAAATCTGAAATTTCATTACTGCTGTTGCCCAAGAATCTGACACTGGTCCTCTGTCTTCAGACGTTAATGTAGTCCATGCTGTCGTATCATATTTCCTTGAAATTTATCTTAAAATTATCTTTCCGTTTTTGCTTAGGTCTCTCACTTTCTTCCCGTTAGGTTTTCTGTCTAGGATTTTGGGTGTAATTATCTCTCCCATGCATGCTACTTGCCTCGTCCTCCATTATTTGATTGTTTAGAATTTGTTGTTTTATATATTTGATGACTTTAAAATCAAGCTTTTGTCCTACTGATTTCATTATATCTTTTTGGTAGGACATATAGTAATGAAACATTTTGCACGGGTACTAGTGAAGGCTTTCATTCCAAGTGTAAAAGTGCTGCTAATCTACTACAAAAGAGAAGACAACTTCATCCTCTATTGGGTACTGGTATGTATGGGGAAGTTGCAAAGACATGATTCGGAAGTCTTATGTTAGTACGTGAGTACGCAGTAGGTTGTTACGTAGTTAATAACAACAGTACCAGCTTCTAGCATTGTTGTAATTTTATTTCTTTGTGAATCTTTAGAAGTCCTGGATGTTTTTCATGTGCACACAATGCCGTACTACACCAGTTGTCTGTTTTGTTCCATAATCAGTAAAGTTCTAAGTTCAAACCCCAGCATCAGGTTCAGTAAACAGAAAGTAAAATTGAGAAATTTCACTTTAAAACCACTGTGAAATAGATCCTCTGACTTTAAGGATAAAATTGTTCTTCTCTTTACCTCCGTCATACAAAATTCTATGTTGTGGTTAGCATGCCTTCATATTCAGAAAGTACCCATTTAAAATGTCAGCTTGGGCACGACTTATTCTGTAGTTTCCTTCAGTCCTTGGAACGTAGCAGGACAGTACTTATCCATTATCAACCATGTGTCGAGTTTTAGACATGGTCCAGCTTGCCATGTGTTACACATGCATGGCACTAAACCATTAACCCCAGAGTACAGTCCTACTAGCAGACCCATAGTACAGGGACTTAAATCTCCTATTCCTGTATTTTAAAGGTTAGAGTAGTTCACATCAGATTTGTTCCTCATCAATCATACTCATTAGATAACTTTTTGTTTTATGCAGTGTATCATTGTGACTGAAAAAGCATGATTAAATACACCTAGAATCAATCTATCACCGTAATGTGTTGTAAAGTTAGAGTATTTTATGATAATTTACATTAATATCCTTGGATCTTACTCTGTGACAGAATATTAACACACTGCCTTCACAAGGAATGTGAAGTACTTTAATGAGAATGTCGCATAATTTTCTCCATCTTGAATAACCATTTGTGTTGAAGGTGACTCTTCTGGGATGTTATGCGATGTAGAATACAAATTTTCTTGGATATTATCCATCGTCTAGTAAATATAAAACGTAAAAACGACGTTTCGGAGATGGGACTCTATCTCCGTCTTCAGGTTCCTACACAGTTGGGAGATAGGGATTAGCTCCAATGTAGTTTGATAGAAGTTTATTAAAATTTTATACATGCTTGTTGCCTTCATCACCCTGATAATGGAGGCAACAAGCACCTCTGAAATATTGGTAACTTTCACCAGACTACATGGCACAGCAACGTAGAAGACAGCCATCTTCATTCAGAATTATAGTTTTGTATATTTTGACTTATTATTTTTGAATAGCATACAGAATGACAAAAGGTTATGAAGTGCTCGATTGCAAGCATTCTCCGAATTTAATCTGCTCATAATTTATGCGTGAATGCGGTATCAGTTTGTTACCATTGTTCCCAAGTAATTCAACTTGCCACATTTTTAACGATTTGTTAGCTAACTTTATGTAATGATTTTGTCTTTTAGTCTGGTGACAAAACATAAACATTTAATTATTTCCATTAGATTCTAGGTGGAATATTATGACTGTCTAAAGTGATGAATGAGTTTAAATGTTTAAAACTCCATATTAAAATCTTGTCCGAGATGCAAAACAAAGTCTACTTCTTCTGTGGCGCAACAGCCTGAAGTCGAGCCTTGGCCTCGTTTAAGTGACGCCTCCAAACTTGCCTATCTAGAGATTCTCTGTAAAGTCTTACTTCAGTATATGAATATTTCAAGTCAGTAAATCGGACCATATTTTTTTTAAATTTAGTGTATATTTGTATGAATGTTTAGAAGAAACAACAGGGCCCTCAGTTCTTATAATGCGAACATACTTGGGTTATTATTTTACAGAAATCAAATTAAATTAATTAAAATCTCAAGAGATCAGAAACTTTTATCAGTACTGCCTCATAGTCGTATGGCATGGCTTATGACCACTTGTTCACAACTTCACTGCCATCAAGAACATTATGTTAACATGGCAATGGAATGGTAGAAAAGATAATTATTAAAACAAGTTTTCTTCTGAGAATTAAATTAAATCCGTGGCATAACAGCTCCAGAGAGCCAAAGCCGACTAGCTTGACTGCTGGCCTCACGTTCTCATGCCTAAGCAGAGGTGAACGATCATCCAACCAGATATAGGGTGACGTGTGGTCAGCACGACGAACCCCCAGCCATTGCTAGCTTTCCTGACCGGATTACGCTACTCATTGTAGCTCCCCAATTTCCTCACGATGCTGGGTTGGCACTGGTTCCATACACTGGTTAAAAGCTCAGAATATTTCTTCTCCCCCGAGACTCGAACCAGCGCGCATTCCGTATCACCGGTCCGAAGCATGATGCCTCAGACCACGCAACTACGGCGAGAATGGTCTTTCCAATTGCCTCTCCATACCTATTGATCATGCTTTATTGATATAACATTTATTCTTGATAATTGCATTGCAGGAGTAGATAATCCATATCGTGCAGCCAGTAATTATGGAGCTAGATTTATGTCTGTCAGTTCTTCAACCAAAACCAACATGAATGGGTATTCGCAAAAGATCTTGTCTGCCAAGTTATTACGAGTCAAACAGCTCCAGAATGAACTGACAGATGCACAGTTTCAACTGAATGTAAGCATCATCACATTTGACTAAATAAATGCGTTGTATTAATTTTCATAAATAATCCATGTAATTTAGATATGGCACTGAGTTTTGGAAGTGAATGGTAGATATCTTATGCATTGAAACTAAAAAGAAAAATAAGGAATGTCGCTTGACATTTAATAGAAGGAGGGAGGGGGTGGGTATGACACACTGCTCAGTACTACTATTCATAATAACATTCTCCATTGTATGTAAAATATGACCAGTGTGTGCATGTAACAGTGGAACATATCCCACCACAGAATGTCACTGATCAGTGAACACCTTTATTAACATCCTGTTGCATAACAAACACAGCTAAGATCACTACTGTGGAGTTCAGACACCAAATAAAGTGATGCAGGCAATACATAGAAAGCATAAGCTTATGTAATAGCTGGTGATCTTGTTTGAAAAGGTTCATTATTATATACAGTACATAGCTGTCGAAGATATCCGTCTTCTGGGTTATTGCGCTGTGTAGTCTGGTCGATGTTAACCAACGTTTCAGAGGTCATACTGCCACCCTGATGACGGAGGCAGTATGACCTCTGAAACGTTGGTTAACATCGACCAGACTACACAGCGCAATAACCCAGAAGACGGATATCTTCATACTTACCGCTGTGAGAACCTCAAGTCTTACATAGCTGTTATTTTCATTCTTTGGTCTTCCACTGTGTTGTGACAGTATAACAAGTTTTCATGATGAAGTCGACGTGGACAATATGTTCAATTGCGGACATCTAATCTGGGTGCCAATTCATGACAAAGATGGTTGTCTTCTAGGTTGTTGCGCCGTGTAGTCTGGCAGAAGTTTACCAATGTTTCAGACGTCCTTTCTGCCTCCATCATCAGGGTGATGAGTTAATCATCGCTGTGATGATGGAGGCAGCATTTGGAAACTTCTTCCAGACTACATGGCGCAACAACCCAGAAGACAGCCATCTTCGGACTCACCGTTGTGAAAACCTAAGATCCTTCGTAGTTCATGACTAACTTCTATTTGACATAACTTAATACATTTTCCCTTGGACTATTATAATTGAGCTATATGTATTGGGAAATTGGAATGAATCAGGAATACTGGCATAGCTCATAATCCTAGAGAAATAGACAAACAATACATGGATATTTGAAGGATGAAAACTTATCTTATTAAATAAAACAATTAAGGAGCCAAACAACAGCTTTTCTGATAATATTTTTCATTATGTTCAGCTGAATTATTTATTATGCCAGAACTCGTAAGGTATAATATTACTTTTTTTTATCAAAGTTTATATATTTTTGATTGCTAGAAACATGATTATTATTTAAATTTTTAAACATGACATTTTGTAAATTTGTTTCTTCATTTGTCAGGAGGAAGGTTCCTAGTCAGACCCCTTGGAGGTGATATATTTTTCAAAAAAATTTGTAATCGCCTACAAGATGACATGCCACAGCCCAGATCAACACAATCCTCACAATCACAAAATATATTTCTGTTTCTTCCAGTCAATTACTTTCATTCCTGTCTGATAGGTGAATTGACTAATTTTCATACCTGCTTTAATAAGTGCCTGAATTTGAAAACAAGTTCAGTCCAGGATGAATATTAATCATTTAAGCCTCTGACTTCACTGACATTTTGCTTTTATTTATTGTTTCAAGATTGTTTCATTTTTCAACATCTAGATGGTATTCCATTTACATCTGTTGGAGCAGGATACTTCATCAGTTGTGTTGTCTAATAATTAACTTATCTGCGTTAATGCAAGTGATGACTGTGGCTTTGTAGGTAACTCACATCACTCCATTTAATAAAATTCATTTCTCACAGTCTGTACTGAAAGCAACTGTAACACAGCCAGGCTATTAGACACCACTTTCTAACCTCAGAAGTCAGGGTTTATTTGCAAAGCAGTCTGCATGGATTTGTGTTCTTTTTTCCCCTAGTGACAGCATCCCACTGACTTTTGAGTTGTCCTTGCAGGAGCTGTTCACAGAAAATCGATTGCTGAAGACACTACAGAAGAGGCAGGACCGTGCTCTCGACAAGTATGAGAGTACTAAAGCAGCATTGCCTCAGCTTATTCGTTCACATAATGAAGAAGTTCGCGTTCTAAGAGCTAAGGTGAAACAAGTATGTATTGTTGATCGATTCCATCCTAATAGAAAATATATTGATTTCTATACGTAAATAGCACGTACTTATGTTTTTATATTGTCTTTTTTTGTATTAATTTTAACCCTTTGAAGCCAAAACTCATGTAAATAATAATTAAGAATTTACTTCCTATTTGAAAAAAAAAAACGTACTTCTCTATTACAAGGATCTCATGTTTACCGTTAAAGGAAGTAATAGCTGTTTACTTTAAGAGTCGTATAAAACAAGTAAGCGTACTTAGTGGGCATAATACATGGTTATTGATTATTAAATGAGGTGGTACATATAGTTATTGGGTTTAAGGGATTAAGTGGGTTTAGTGTAGTCATGTTTTCTTCATAATGAGTTTTGATTTGAAGAATTACTGAAAATAAAGTTATAATTTTAATAACTAAATACAATGTTGTTTTGTTTTGCCTTGTAGTTGAAATCAGAGTGCTGTGAAAAAGATCACCGGATAAAAGAATTAGATGCTGACCTTCAAAATTTGAGAGATCAGCATCATCGTTTGTTAAAGCTTTCAAGAGACCGTCATTTAGGAACCCGAGAGAAACTTACTGAACAGATGGAAGAATTGAAAGAAATTATAAAAGAACAGGATCTCAGGATTCAGGTATGAAAAGAGTAATTTGCCGTAGGTGTTTTTCCAGTGGATGCAAAATAACTGAGATTGGGCTATGTCGTAGTAAGATAGAAAGGGCGATGGATAGCAAGGTGGCAAAGAGAATGAGCATGTATACTTTTATTATTATTAGTGTTCTGTCTGACGACAGGTCCATATGAACAGGATCCTTCGATCCTTTTCTCGGACTGGGACTTGTTCATATACGTTCTTGGCAGATGATCCAGAAGTGGTTTGCCATTGCCTTCTTCTGTGTGTGAATGGAGTAATTGTTGGAATGTCACGGAGGAAAACTCCGTGTTGCTTAGACCACGGCCTTGCCCAACACAAGTTATAAATTCGAACCCGAGACCCCAGGATTACAAGGCCAGCGTTCTAACCGCTAGACCACCCCATCTTATTATTATTTAGTGTTCTGTCTGACGACAGGTCCATATGAACAGGATCCCAACACAAGTTATAAATTCGGGCACCGCCGGGAATCGAAACCGAGACCCCAGGATTACAAGGCCAGCAATCTAACCGCTAGACCACCTCATCTTATTATTATGTAGTGTTCCAAATTTTCTCTTCTAATTTTGGCACAGTCTGTGGTGTTATGATACATCGACTTTTACACACACAACGTGCACGCTACTACTGCAGCCTTAACATAAGAATTTCACATCTGAGAGTACACAAAGAAGGCCCGGGTATTTTCTCCATTATGTGCTGTTGCTTTGTGGTCTTCCCCTTTTTCCCGCATGTTTATCCCTAATGGTCAGTGAGCTTGGGGTTATTTTTGTGTTCACTGTACAAGAAGCGGCTGTCCTGGATAACGGCATAAATTATTTATGTCTTTGCTGTTGCTGGTAAGCATTAGGTTAATTAAAAATATATGGAACAATGTCAATTTGATACAGGAAACATATGTTTATTTTTCAGACACTTCATCGTAAAGTAATGCTTGAGACAAAGAATTTCAAACACCAGTTAAGTTATGAAATAACACGACACAAAGAAACTCAAAGACATTTGAGTGAAGCTTTAGACAAAATATCAAAGCTTGAAATTTTGGTTGAAACAAAGGAGAAATATATTGCAAATTTTGTGCCTAAGCAAAACTTCAGAAACAAGTATAGACAATCTGTAGTACCACTGGTGTCACTCGCTGGACCAGCAAGGTAAGCTGTGCGGTAACACTGGTTCCAAACTGATTAATCCTCAGTAGAACTCCATATGGCATTATTTATTTGTTGATTCATTTTCACTGCAGGTTTAAGTATTGTAAAATAAACTGCCCCCTGTATTCATGCTAAATTTTTGAAATACTTCAGATTAACCATATTTTACAGATTGTAAGATGCACCCAGTTAAGAGGGAAATATTAGGGGTAAAGAAACCTGCAGTGCCTTCATAGTATAAGATGCATGTGCATTTTAAATGGTATTTTCCAGGAAAAAAAGTATTATAATCTGGAATGTGTGATAATTTTATAATTTGTATGCGTGAGTTGCATCTTGTTCCTTTCTCTGAGGGAAGTATTTTAAAACAAACGTATGATAGTGTAGTTGCGTCATATTGTGATTTATTAAATTAAAATTAAATTATTTGGTTATTCCGTCAAATCACAATGTATTTAAAATAAGATAATTAAAATAATTAAAATATCATTCTGTGTTCCATATCGAATAATCGATTTACAATTGGAACAGTTACAACATGTTTCGGTTTTATTAAACCATCATCAGGAGTAAAATTATATTAAATTTAAAACTCAATTACAATTTTTTACAATTCAGTAATAAACCTTGATCGGATACGGTAATACTTCTGGATCACCTCCAGACACAACTGTGTTGTCTACTATTTCATCTCTGACCGATGTAAACATCAAAAGCATCACTTCAAACAATAAAGTTGATCCATTATATGAAAATATCTGGACACGACCTCCAAAAAACTACACTACGAAAAATTGTAAAAAAAATTGTAATTGAGTTTTAAATTTAATATAATTTTACTCCTGATGATGGTTTAATAAAACCGAAACATGTTGTAACTGTTCCAATTGTAAATCGATTATTCGATATGGAACACAGAATGATATTTTAATTATTTTAATTATCTTATTTTAAATACATTGTGATTTGACGGAATAACCAAATAATTTAATTTTAACAAAAGTATGAGTAACAGAAGGAAAAATAAGAGACATTAATAATTTTGGCTAAAATTTTGGACATTATCCATCATCTGTTGTTTCTTGTAACACAGTGTTTCAGTGACTGGATCTGTCACTGAAACGTCTTGTTATGAGAAACACAGATAATCTCCTGAATTTTAGCCAAATCTCATACAATACACCATCGTTAATATCCTGTAGAATGATCTTAAGACAGATTAAGTTAAATGAGAATAGCACATGATACATAACTGAGAACTGTGTAATTTATACAGCTTACTATTGTTATTACTATAGTACGAGGCTCGTCCACAAAGTAAGTTTCCCTGGGGCCGTTTACAGAAACAAAACACAATTTCATGTAAATATTTATAGCAACAGATACAGCAAGTGTCCAGCTATTTTTCAACATATTCGCCACCGGAATTGAGACATTTGTCATACCGTGGGACCAACTTTTGAATACCTGTGTCGTAGAAGTCTGCCGCCTGGGATTGGAACCACTGTGTGACACCCATCTCCGCCTCTCTGTCATTCTCAAAACGCTGACGCTCACCGGACAGGAATTTCTTGAGGTGTAGGAAAAGATGTGTGAGAACGCGGGAGGTGCCGTTAGTGCATGCGCCATGCTACGTCATTGCTCTATCACGTACGCACAGTCGCTTCGCTCAATATAAGGTTTTCTAGCTGTGGGACGAGTGGGAAACTTACTTTGAGGACGCGCCTCGTAAATGAAGGAATTAGCTGGATATGGAGATTGTATGAGGGGAATAAGAAATGGATAACAGTTGCTTAGAGGACCTAAACACAAAGCTTGAAATTATATCTTTTACTTTTCATAATTCAAAGAATATTTGGTAGTTGTGGGTTATCGGGACACATCGTTTTAAAAATAGGTTAGGTTAGGTTAGTTGTCATTTATTGAAATAAAATATAATAACTTTAAAGTATATGTCATTTATCCACACACGTTAACCTAACCTAACCTATTTTTAAAGCGATGTGTCCCGATAACCCACAAGTACCGAATATTTATTAATGTGAAGACCCTGGAATTTTCAGTTTCCTTTCATTTTTATTCATTGTACAATCCTGATTTACTTTGAAGATATCCTGACCTGCATGCTTCAATGAAATCTGAGGCAGAACTATTTCCACAATTAGAAGAAGAGTCAAGTGAAGGAACTTGTATGGTAAGAAATGGGGTTTGTTTTAATCCATTAATCTAAACCTGTTGTTGGAATAATAATAACTTTTGTTCTTGTCTGTATTGAAGTTACAGTTTATGTGTCAAGTTTTCATGAAGGGGACTGATAATACTTAACACATTATTTTGCTAATGATTGCAGATATTTTTAACCTCCAAATCTATCAGTTTGAAGTTCTCAAAACAAAGTACCATGATAATTTAGTACATTTTCAGTAATTTTAACGAGTTTACAATATCGATGAAAGACTCTTGGGTTACAAGCCGTGTCAGTCTTTCATCAACTTCAGTCACTGCGAAAGCTTCACTTTATACAAGTTTTTTAATAGTTCAGTTATTCTCATGCAGAAAACAAACCTGTGATATCTTATTTTAAAATTAGAATTTCAGTTAACTTCTTTACAACTTTTTGAATGGTCCTATATCAAAGCTAAATTAGCCCACCACTGTTTGGAGAAAATGTGTTATATTAATGTTTGCAAGTCAATTACTATTACGTCCATATCGTGAAGATACAACGCTCAAAGTTGTTTGCCTTCTTTCTTAACCTACTTCAAGCACAGAGGAAATTGTTGGTTTCCCTTCAAACACACACAGTTATTTTATCACGTCCAGCCTGATTTATCATTCTTTGGAAGACATGAGTCAACGCATTCGTGCACAAGGGTCTGTGGGCTACGTTTGAAGCTCTCAGTGGTCACTGCATCTGAAATCTTAGACAACCAACTGTTAGATCTAAAACTTGACTGAGAATCCAGTGTTTATTCTTACTGTAATTTGGTTTCCATTTTATTAACATCCAGAAAGAAGTATGATGGCTGCCACTAGTTACAAATTCTTCCAGTGCGTGCCTCTTAGCCCTTAGTGTTTAGATGAGTAAGCCTGGTTTAGGCATTGCAAGAAGTCTGACAATCCTTGCATGACCTGCAGAAGGGAAGGCCAGCATAGCCCATAGCAAGATCACTGCCCATATCCATTCAAAATATAAATAAATAAAATATTTTTGTTAATTTGAAGTTCTGCTCTGCAACTTACGCTAAACCTCTTGCCCATCTTGTATCAGCATAGCCAATGCGTGTTATAGTTTTCACTACTTGGGGCTTCAAAGCATTATTCATACCAAAAATTGTCCTCAGCTACAGCTGTTTCTGCCTCTCTTGTCCCTCCGGCACACTGCAATGATACTGCTATCATCTCTAATTAAAATATCCCATTCTTTTAGAGCCCTAGAACCAAAATTTTGGGGCATTCATTCTGTTATGTCAAACTGTCACAGTAATTTTCCTGTTGTAGAGGTCATCAATGGTCACGAATTTAGGTACATAAATCTCTCGGTTTACACAGACTTTGCTTTTTTTCTGTAGATGGTGCTGGGGTATGGTCAGCATAATATTAAAATGTGAACAAAGAGATACTAAGTAATTTCTTTAGAAAAAAGATGTCTAGTCCTGTTTGTCATACACCAGCAGCTTTTATAACTTTCATTTCTTTACTTGTGTTACTCTTTGGTGACAGGCTGCTAGTTTCTTGCAGAACGTAATACTGACAGCAATACAGATTTGATTCCTTAAGGTAATAACTGCCACCAACTCATACGATTAAAATGTGAGGGTGTATGAGGAAGTCACCTACAATTCCAGCCCACACTTTGGATAGAAATTTGTTGGCAAACTGTCTCTTGATCTTGTTACATGGGGATTTTCATCTGACCACGCTTGTTATCGATGTTGGCGATCTCAGTGAAGCATGATTTGTCTGTGAAGAAAACATCTGTTGTAATCGTAGGATCTTTAGCCAGCTGTTGTAATATCCATTGACAAAAAATGCAATAGTAATTGGTCAGCAGATGAGTGCGACAAATTTTGTACACAAATAGTGGTGTGTTTTTTTGCTGCAGAAGTGAGGTTATACTAAGGTAAATACAGTATAAGATGGTACTATTACAGAAGTTGTTAAGTTCAGATACGTACTCCACAATTCTGGTTTATCTTTCACCCTCAGTATCCTGACTACAGTATTTTGCAAACCATACAGCTCTTTAATACAGGCAAAACAAATTTACTGCCAGGCCTGCTTCAGTACCAATATTGGTGGTAAACAAAGTGTGGCAATGTAATGGGGTTTGACTGTAGTTACATATTAATTTTCAAAGCTTTCTCTCTTTCTTTAAGGCTTCCCATACTAATACAACATATGGTTCCGCACGTCTAAGTACAGAAGCAGTAAAGATTAACTCAGGAAACCACATGCCTTCTGATGGATATAATACCAGGCGTATGAAACTTGCAAATAAGAGACAATTTGTACTAAAAAGGGAATTATATGAAACTGTTGTAAACAAAACAGATGACCTAATGAGCAGCAGTGACCTTACTTCACGTACTCCATCTTCTAGTGTCCTGACTGATGACAGACAGTCTGATTTGACAGATGATAATGTAAGCAAACAACCTTACAGTTTAGGAACAGCTTATGGCTCAAGAAAACCATCTCTAAACACTGAGCCTACCGAAAAACTCTCCCTTAGCGTTGATGACCATGATACACGTAAAAGTGAAGATCTGGAAAAGGAGAATGAAGATTTAGTTTCTTCCACCAAAACAAGCCGGAGCGGATCATTTCAGGAAAATGGAAGAAATGATTTATTTACAAACGTGATTGCTGATACAAGAGAAGGAATTGATGTTGGGAAAGATTCACTTTTAGTTCTTGAATTAAAATGCGTTGAAAATGGGCTCAAAGAAATGGTGTCAGATAATGAGAGTAGAAAAGGGTCACTACTAATGGAGAAGTTAAACTATGCTGAAGAAAAATCCATATCTACAATAACAAACAGAAGTCCTGGTAGAAAAGGATCATTAGAAAGGGAAAATACAAGTTATACTGAAGAATCCATGCCTGCAGTAAATAAAATTTTAAGCAGAAAGGGATCCATAAAAACAGAAAAAATAAATTTTGTAGAAGAATCCGCGCCTGCATTACGAAACAAAATCAGAAGTAGAACGTCGTCTCCGAGTGATGAAATAAATTTGGACACGGATAGTGTGAAACATATGACAACCTTTAAAAGAGAAAAATCATACGTATCATCTAATGAAAATGGGACTAAAAATGATACATCCTGTGAATATGGACTTGCGGAAGCATCTGGACATTTGTCAGAAACGTCTCGAGCTCGGAACAAAATTCAAAATGAAGTTCTGTCTGAAAGAGATATAACAGATACTAAATTGAAACAGGTGGTGAATAATTCAGAATCAAAAGCTCCAGAAACCAAAGACCATGAGAAAAAGAAACTATTGGCTGCTTTGAAAGCTATTGATGAGGGAGAAGACCCTTCTGTAGTCGATACAGGGGACAAAAGTTCCTCAATTTTAGAGAATGCTCTTACTAACTCTACGTCAGATGCAAGTTCATCATTAAACATTTCTTTACCTTTTATAGGACAAATGAGAGTTTTAAATAAACAGTGGGAAGGCAAAGTAACTTCTGAAGAAAGACGTACTGACGTTGAGAAACCAAAGACTAAAACTGAACTGATGCAAGAATTATTCGGAGGCCACTTCAGGGATTTAACTGCTGGAAATAACAACAGTGCTTGACACATACAATGGTTACATCTGAGAACATTCCAAATACTACTTTCAATTAAATTTCATCAAGTTATATTATTAAAAAGATGTTATGCAAATAATTTGGGGGGGGGAGGAGTTTAAGTACATTTCATGTTTTAGAATATTGACAGAGCACTTTTATGTAATGTTATTTATAATGTTAGATGTCTGTTATTTATGTGAAGTTAAGTATGCTGAAGATTTTATTAGCAGGTTATATATCATAGAATACTGTATTACATTTGCTTTGTTAAACTATTGTTAAGTAATATAACTTTGTTAGGAATCTTAATATCTGCACTTGACGTGTTGTGCCTTAACACATCCACAGCAAAATGACAGCTCCCTTCTTTTGTGTTGCTAGTACAAAGTAGCTGGAGTGCTCAAAGTGGCCTTTAATGAAGCAATTGATTTAGAATTATGTTCACACAGTAGCATGCAAATTTGAAGAAAACACGTAGGCATTGTGACAAAATTAATTTGACTTCGATTGGAGTATATTATATCAGTAGTGACATCCATATTAATCTGAGGGGGCAGACTGAATAGTATATTTATAACACATACATTAATTTTTTGAAAGTATTAGCATTGTGTATTGATTTAAAACTACAAATTATGGATTTTTTTTATTGAGATTTCAGTATGTAAAATATCAGTTTCAATTCATCCAATATTTTAAAAATTTTATTTCTTGATGAGTTTAAATTAGCTGCAAGATATTAATTTGTGTTATTAACCAATGTTACAGCAAGTTTTAAAATATGATCAAAAAGTAAGTCTGCTTAATTTTGTAAAAAAAACAAAGAGGTTCCTGTGTTCCGGTGATTTTTAAGAGTTTTGAAACATTTTCAATGAAATTTAATATCCCATATTATCCTTCATAAAAGGTGGAAGTTTGTAATGGAGTTTTATTTTGAAATAAATTACTCCTGCTATGAAATACTGAGTGCATAGCCTTGAAATAGGAGTGTTAAAGTGTTTGAGCATACTCTAAAATGACTACATATGACATGAAGAAGGAAAAAAAAATGGGTAGAGGTAAAATTCTTCTTGTGTCTAAGGATCATGTTATGTGTACATGACGTGTGGAGTTGAAGCTGCGTTAACAGAAATAAGTATCCATAATTTTTGAAGCTGAAGTGTCATGGTATTTGGGTTAACATGAGGAGCAGTAGTTAAATTTGTGAATAGTTTAAACTTCACTACAACATGAAGATATCCGTCTTCTGGGTTATTGCGCTGTGTAGTCTGGTCGATGTTAACCAACGTTTCAGAGGTCATACTGCCTCCGTCGACCAGACTACACAGCGCAATAACCCAGAAGACGGATATCTTCATACTCACCGCTGTGAGAACCTCAAGTCTTACATTCACTACAACATGTATGCTGTGCTTACTTCATAAACAGATTTTATTAATGAGTTAGAGATTTGGATGAGATAAGTTGCATTGCCAATCACTGTAGAAGCATACAATTAAAGACTCATTTGGGCATGTTATGAAGCACCTTCATAAGAATTTAACAAATTAGGTTTCAAATAGTTCACACAAATCTGATGAAACTAGGTCCATCATACCCTGCACTGATGCACTTTTACAAAGTTTGGATGCTTATGTTGGAAGTAAATGGAGACAGACTCAAATAAAATATGATACTTATTCACTTGTTTCATTGTAAAATATTGGAGAATACTGTTTTATCCATGTTCATATTAGAAGTGTACGTTTTGTGTGAATCTACGTATTAATGAATAAATATGGGAAGATCATGAAAATACTCTCATTAGGGATGAAAGTGATTGATTGTGTACAAACTAGACAACAGCCAGTGATGTTAGAGCAGGATATGAGGTCACTAGCATAATAAGAAATGTATAATGGGAGAAATTCAGTTCAGGCCTATTGTTTTGATAACAAATATAGAAAATGGATTTAATGCTAGTTTGTTTTACTTCATCAGATATAATCCTTAATAATTATTTCATGACATAATTTACACAGGAAATTTGGTTTTTGTGCATCATCTCACCACCATTAAAAATGAATGCACAGCTTTCAACTGTAATATTGATACTTTTGTTGTTTCATCACAAAATTCTTGTTTTTGAACTGAATGTTTTGTCTTGGGATGGAAAGCGGTTTTTCCCCCTCAGAAATACCATAAAAACTGTCATCTGCATATCCTTGAAGAGCAGTATCTCCTTTCCCCCAGTGTGTAGGTGGGATTTCGATATTATTGGAACCCAAACATGGCACAGAAAGGATCATCATAGCATCAGTAAGGACATTCTACCTCCGGTCAGGCTAACTTTATGTTGGTTAAAGATAATTACATTTAATCAGTATAAAGACTATAACATATCATTAACTACCATAACCAAAACTAGTGTAACGTAAGATAATGTGATGATAAGTCAGTTCTTGTGAATTATTAACCAAGAATTTCACATGCACACACAAACCAGAAACATCTTCTTTGCTTTATTTTATCGCTAAAGTGACTGAGTGTAAAAAATGAACATGCAATATTGTATAGAAAAAATCCTTATAAATTAATTTGTATTAAAAGAAATCCAATTGGGAAAAT